ACTCTAGGCAAAGGACCTACTTGCCTGCCTCCCCAGTTCAGAGCCAGCGGGAGCCCAGACAGGGGAAATCCCCATTGACACCTGCATGTTGCCTCAGAGGACACACACACCAATCACTAGTGGGGGATAGGGGAAGAGGAAGTGCTAAATAGGGGCCAAGACAGACGCCAAAGAAGGTCAAGGACTGAGAGGATGAAGATTTAGAAAAATAAGTCAATATCAACCTGGGGCACCTCAAAGGATATCGGGTCTTCCTCTGTCCCTCTTCCCCTCACCACACACCCATTGATAAAAAAAAAAAAAAAAAATCACAACTGTTGGCCCTCTGCTTGAACCTTTAGGTGAAAGAGCTGTTTAAATCTGCAGCAGGGTACAGATAGATGGGTGTGGTGGTACAGAGGGTGTGTTTGGGAGAAGGCCAGTTTCCTCTCCTCCTGCATTACTCTGCACTTGAGAAAGGATTACTTAGCTGCTGGGAACACTCAGGGAACTGAAAGGTTGCTTCTCCCAACCTCCAGCACTCACTCGTTCGCCAGTCATGCCACGAAGGAGCCATGTTCCCTAAGGGAAGGGCAGGGAGAATTTTTGTGAGAAATTCACGTAACTTCTGCTAAATGCCTGACACACCATAGTGCTTGATACATTTCTACTATAACTATTATTTTTCTTTAAGTGTACTACGGTGATTTGAGACACAGGCTTTGGTTTAAAACAATTCTAGGTTTAAATCTATGCTCAAGTCCCACTTATTAGCTATTAGGCCTCTGCAGAGTGAATTTACCACCACTCTAAACCTGTTACCTCAACTGTAAAATGGAATGAATAATACCGACTTTTGGGATTAAATTAGCTAATGTATGTTGACAAAATCTAACTTTAAGCAAACACAATCAGCTGTGAGGGTTTATGAGAGGAGCTAGGGCTTATGGAAGCTCTCCATAAACACTCTCTGCACTCTACATAATCTCCAGAACCCTACAGGAAGAACTCTATGATTATAATAAAGCTCTATGGTTCTCACTTTCTCTTCTATAAATATCCCTCCATCTTGGCACACAGACCAGAGTGTGCACTTGGCTTACCATGTCTGCATGCACTGGGTTGCAGTTCTTTTTCCCTAAAATAAATCCTTTTTGGTGACAAAACATCTAGTTGATATGTTTTTTTAGTCGACAATGTAAAATACTAAGCCCAAAGTTAAATGATAGCAGTTAGAATTACCATGTAACATTGGTCTTTCTTGTCGTTCCCCACCCCCACCCCCGAACTTCTCTGTCTTTCTCTAATTCTTTTGGGGGGAGTTCTTTTGAGGTCATTTGGAAATCTATTCCTATCTTCCAGTAGCCTTATTTTTCCATCTCTGTGGGCTTTATCCTAGTGTAATATATCCATTCATGATTCTAGTGTTGGGAACAGATTTAAATATAGAAATAAGTGAAATAAAATATAGCTCATAGGTCCTTTGATAGAAGCCTATGAGCATAAAGAAGGAAATAAACAAATATGAGTTGATTCAATATGGCTTTATAGAGGAAGCGACTCTTCAGCATCATCTTGAAATATAAAAGCTTGGAATCAGACAACCCTGGATTTGGACCCATGCTGTGCCACTTACTAGCTATTGTTACAGGAGAGCTGGGCCCTTCTCAGCGATGTCCTTGCTTGGCTGTCACACCGGGGGTCGAACCTGGTGGAGTCCAGGGCTAGATTCCCAGACGGGGGTAGATCCTCCTTGGCACAGTGTCCAGGCTGTCGACACGTTGAGCAAAGAATTGAATGAGACACAGAAGTAAAGTGGTGCAAGAGAAGTTTATTAGAAGAAAAAGTATACTTCAAGGAGGTAGAAGTGGGCCCCAGCAGAAGGTGTGGTTCAAAGGCCATTATTAGAAGAGAAAGTACACTCCAAAGGGTTAGGAGCAGGCTGAGCAAAAGAATGGCTCAAAAAGGCTGCCGCTAAAAACCTCAAAGGCTCAAAGGACTCAAAGGCCCAAAGGGCCGAGGGCCAAGGGCAAAGGCAAGGGCAAGGGCCCTGACTGGCGAGGACTTGGAGTTTTTATCCTTTTTTTTCTCTAGAACAAGCTGTTCCTCTCTGGGCGTGGAACCATTTGATTGACATCTGTGATTGACAACAGGCTATTACCTCATCTCTTTAGACTGAGCATGTTCCTTTCCAGAATTCAGTCTGTTAAAATGATATTAACGAACTTCCAGGCATATGATGGTATATAATGATGGTATAATTTTATATTTTAATTTAATATTTAATTTAAAATACATAATTTAAAATATATAATAATTTAAAATACCATCATTATAATGATGGTATAATGAGGCTCAGGCGAAATGCAGGTCGTTGTGGCCTTTAATGTGCAGGTGCAAGCGACTGGTCTAATCTACTTGGATATTTTGCACCCATTTGTTTCCTCATAGGGGTAGATAATTACAATGAAAAGGGGAAGTTTTGGGCACAGAGGGGAGGTCTCTTGGGCGATTGTGTTCTGTGGGTGATGTTGGACGTGCAGGAATGCAGAGACCCAATGTCTGTCTCTAACTGCCTGCCTTGTTTTCCCCTTGAGAGACATGATCCCCATAAAATCTCTATGGGAAGTTGAGGGACAGGAGGTCTCTTCTGTATCTGCTTCCTGCTGGGCAAGGGTGTAGAGTTGTCCCTACCTATTGGGGGATTCACAGAACTCTCGCCCTAGCTTATCTCAGATGAGAGGAAGGGGTCTTGAGATCAGCCTGGAAGACCGTGTTGGCTTCTTTGGTTGGGACTGGTAATCTTGCTAGGGTATCATCTGTATCCCCAAAACCCCTGAATGAGAAAAAAAAAAGGATTTTAATTGATAAATTTCTTAAAGAGCAAAGCTCAAAGCTATTGATGCAGGGTGGCTATGTGGTGAAAAATCAGCTCGTATGGAGCCTGTGGTCATTCAACCAGTCACTCAGGTGACGTCAGTTGTCCAGGAGCTGGGCCCAGAATGGGTTGGAAAGAACATTAGGCTTCAATATAATTACAATTAACAAGTATAAATCACAGATTTTAGGGTAATTATCTAAAGCAGGGGGTAGGCGTGGAAAAACTGGAAAAAAGGAAACTTTAAGGAAAAGGAAACTTAAAATCCCTATAGGAAATAAAACTTAAAAGTGTTTTTAGGCGGGGAGGGGCTCCTTGTTCGGCCTGTATCACTATGGATGAGTTAACTAATCTGGCCAAATGTCAGTCTCAAGTATTCAATGAAGCTAATGATACCCACATAAAAGGTGGGATTCAATGAGCTGATAAATGTGAAAGCCCAAGGAATGGACACATAAATTATCAATACGTAGCACTTACTCTTCCTTCCTACCCTTTCCTTTCCTACCTTCTCCATTACCTTCTCCCTGCTAACTCTCTCATTCATTATCCCTCCTCCCCTCGGCCTTAGTTTAGTTTGGTATCACTTGGGAACACAAACCTCCTAGTTACAAAGAAAAATATAAATAAAATAATTTAAAGCCACTTGAGTTGTAGATGGACCGCTGGAAATGGCCCTCATGAAGATGTTGATCCATGGACAATACCTACGGTTACTCATAAACACCTGCCCATATTGTCCATAGTTTGCTTTAAAGCATATTTTCCCAACTTTTTTTTTTTAACTTGTAATGGAGGATTGAAACAGAAGTCCTGCTAAATATTGAGATCAAATTCATCTATAATGTCTTCTCAACCAACCAACCATAAAGACTGTCACTTAAAATGAGGTAAGTGCAGTATGTGCTTTTTCACAATTTGATTTGTGGCAATTTTTTACCTGGGTTTTCCTGGATCTACAAATGAAAATTTCAAATTTCCCAATTATTTCTATTAATTTATGAGGATTCATTTCTTCATTTAAACTGCCATACCAAGAAAGCACAAGGAAAACAGAAAGGAATTGCTTCTGTAGGGGGCTTAAAAAAACAGTACTTTTCCTTTCACTTCCTAAATTCTTTTGGCTGGGCTAATAGTCAAATTAACAGAAACAGGTTAACAGGAGAAAATCAAACTTTAATACATGTGCACAGGGAATTCTCATAAGCACATCCCTTTGCCAAGTACGTTCTCTGACCCAGAGATCAAAACCTGATCTACTATCCCCACTGGGAATTTAGTCAATCCTGATTTCAGCTACAATTGATAGCATCTTCTCATCCTAAATCAGGTCCAGTCTGACTGTATCTACTTCCTGCCTTCCTCCAGCCAGCCAGTTCTCCTGGAGTCCAACTCTGCTTGGTTCTCAACAGCATCATCTAATAACATTCATTATCACCCTCACCTCCCCCATCACACAAGCTAGGCACTGGGGAAGGCAGCACAGTCCTTGCCTTCAAAGTATTTACAGTCTCAGAGATGACAAGGTGCTTATAGTAGAAAAGCGAGTAAAGGTAAACATCACTAACAGGCAGCCCAGGTGAAGAGGTATGGACATGCAATTCTTCAGAAATCCCAGGGAAGAGTAGTTCACTGTGAGCTGAGCTGGTGGAAATGGCTTGCTGATAGAAACCCATGGTGCTGAGGCACTGGTTTAGAAAGCCAGTAAGGGCATGAAATCGGGAGCCAGACTGCCAGGATTTGAATGACGCTCAGCTCTGACAAAGCCTAGCTGTGACCTGGGCGAATCAAGCTCTTTGTGCCTCAGTTGCCTCCTCCCTAAAATGGGGACGATAATAATACTGCCTGCTTCATAGGCTTGTGGTGAGTATAAAATGAGTTAAGATATATGAAACACGCAGTATATAGTAAATAGTTACCCACTATTGTTTATGAGTGGTGTTCTTGAGAATGAGAAAGGTACAAGTGAGTGTCAATGTAATTACTTAATGCTGTCTGGGGAGGAGCATGTGTATTTAAGGCACAGCCTGGAACGCCTTGCATAATATCATCGTTAAGCAAAATGTCTTGTAATTGGCGCAGCTCCGAAAATACACATGCACAAGAGCATGTATGCGGGGCGGAGCCGCTCTGGCTGCGTGGTCGGTTTCTAGTCTGTAAACACGCGCGGGCCGGAGGGGGGTGCGCGCGAGCCCACGCTGCGTGTTGATTCCGACCACTGGGTATGAGACTGTCCCTGTGTGTCACTAACACACACTGATAGGAGACCTGCTTCGACGTGCGTGTCATGGCTTAAAAATAGATGCTAATCCGTCAAGCGGTCTGGCAGTGACAGCTACGGCGGCGACAGCAGGAGAATCATGGCCGAGGGGCTGCGGGCGCCTGTGATCTGCCTCCGGGACTGAGACCCCCGCCGCGGGCTGAGAGGTAGAGGGGCTGCGGCGGGTGGTCGGCTTCCCAGCCGAGGCTGTGAGGGAGGGTGGGGTCAGGAGAAGGGGCCCGGGAGCCAGCCGAGCAAGCTGTGCCCTCCTGGGCTCCCTCCTTCCACCTCAGCGCCAGGCTGTCTGGGTTGGCAAGGGCTGGGCGACAGCCATGAACCTGTTACAACCACGACAGCAGACGGAGGTGGGGGGGCGGCGCACTAGGGCCCCTGGCAGTCGGCAGATGGGATTGGAGAATGCCGAGGTGTGTATCCCGGGACAGAATGGGGCTTCTCCAACCCCAGGAAAAACAGAATCCCCAGCCCTGCATCCTTCCATCCCCTGCCCCAGGGGCTTCCTACACCTGGCCGCCTTCCTGCCTCCGTTTACCATTCGGCATCCCACAGGCAGCAGAATCTGTTTCTAGGAAAGATTGTTTTGAAATAAAGTGATGGGGTCTTGAGGCCTGAAGAGATGAGGTAGATGATGATGATGACTATAGGGCTGTATTTCTGTGCTCTTTCTGACCCAGACATTGAAAAAAAATATTTCTCCCTAAACACCTTCAAATCCAGTCTCCCCTCTCCAGTCCTGATCCTAATACCCCTGCTTCTTATGCTTTGTGAGTAAGTCTTGATCTCTGCTGGCCTGGGGGAAAGACAGGAGAGTGTGGGTACCACAAAGATGGCCTTTCACCTCTGGACTTCTGGTTGAGGGTTCTTGTGCTGAAGACAGGGAAGGGAGTGAGAGAGAGATTCTTCGCACTAGCCCTCCTGCCTTCTCAGACATGCAGGACCACAGTGTGAAATGCACGGGGAGGGAGGCTCTAGCCACAGTCTCCCCTCTGCCGGAGGGTCCCAGGGCAAGTATCAAAGCCTGGCCTTTCCTAGCTCTGCAGCCCAGCACATGGTCTTACTTTCGGAAGAGCTAGCTGTCCAGAGAGTCAGGCACACCTGCTAGGACCCATGCGCTGCTGACCACTTAACTCCCACTGCAACACGGATGGTAATTCCAGCCTCCGAGTCCCTGGGCCTGGCAGGAACCCTCATCCTTCCCTTTCCTCCCCCATCTCCAGTCCCCCATCCTCTGCTTCTACCCCTCCACCCATACACACACACACACACACACACACACACACACACACACACACACACACACACTACCCCAGCCCTGCTTCAACTCAGAAATTCTCACATTAGAGATAAGGTTTAATTAATCTTTTCTTTATACAGATCAAAGGAGGGTGGTTTGCTTGTTGTGCACATAGATTTGCACCTTCTTCCATTAGCTCCTGAATTCAGCAAGTATTTTCTAAAAACTTACACTTCCTCTTTATTGCTATTTCCCACTCACCCCATCCACCAACATACACATCCCATAACAGGCTTACCTCTGAGGCAGTGGTAGGGCAGGAATGGGTTAAAGCAGCCCCTCTCTCTGGCACTGAGGAGGCAGCTCGGCATATGTCATGGCCTCAGCGGCTACTGTCTTCCTGCTCATTCTCCCTGGATGGAGAAAGCCACCGCCCCCAACCCCCATTCCAACTCCCTAGCCTCTCTGGCTGTAGCCCCAGGCAGATGAGACCCAGATTCTGGCTAGCAAGTGCTCCAGCAGTGGGCAATGCTACCCAAACACCAAATGTTTGTGTGTGTGTGTGTTTATGTGTGTGTGGTGGGAGTGGGGGTGGGGCACTGGAGCAGAAACTCAGCAGCTGGGCAGCTCCCTCTCCCCGTAAACAAGGACATGTGACTCTCCCACCTCCTTGTGTGGCAGAACCAAAGAGCACAGAGAAAGGAGGTGCCGCAGCTGAAGGAGAAGATAATACTGGAGGCTCTGCCAGGGCCAGACTTACATCCACTCCCTTGAGAACCTTCTCCCCAGGGCCCAGCCCAGTTGGCAGAAAGGGAAGCCGCTTCTCTAGACTCGCTCAGGTGTGTCCTGCATCCCTTTCTCTTCCAGCAACAGCTACCTGGAGACTGACCCATCATCACCGCAGCCAACCCGGCAGCTGCCACGGTTTCTGCCATCTCTAAGATGTGTCCTGGTAACTGGCTCTGGGCCTCCATGACTTTTATGGCCCGCTTTTCCCGGAGTAGCTCAAGGTCTCCTGTTCGCACTAGAGGGGCCCTGGAGGAGATGCCAGCCGTTCAACATCCCTTCCTCAGTGTCTTTGAGTTGGAGAGGCTTCTCTACACAGGCAAGACAGCCTGTAACCACGCCGATGAGGTCTGGCCAGGCCTCTACCTCGGAGACCAGTATGTACCCAGCAGACTGGGGCCATGCCTGAGTGTGTGTGTATGTGTTTGTGTGTATGTTTGTATGTGTGTGTGCATGCAAGAAGAAAAAAGAAAGGGTGGCAGAGAGGCACTGAGTTGTATTGTTGGTCCCAGGTGGAGGATGGAGGTGAGGGGGTACAAGGGTGGAAAGTGGAGGCTGGAGGGTTTAGGGGAAGGGTTGGACAGGATTATTGATCTACCCAACTCTGGACAGTAAGACTCTGTTCAAGTAATAATGTCATTTATTTAGCAAAATTTCTTATTGAATGCTATGTACCAGCATAACAGATGACTTATCTGACCTTCCATCTATTGTGCTATGGCTCTTAAAAAGGCAGTCATTGGAGCCAGGAACAGTGGGTAGTAAGGTGAAGGGTTGACCAAGCAAAGCCACAGTATATGCAGTTTCTGCAAGATGGGGCTATGGAGAGAAGAGCATCGGAGGAAGGGTAGTTCCCACTTCTCTCTCTCAAGGGTTCTGTAGTATACAAGGAGTTTTTCACATGCAGTTTCTCTCTTAATCTTCACAACAGCTTTGTGAGGTAGGTACCACTATCCCCAGGTTACAGATGAGGAAACTGAAGCTCAGAGAAGTTGTGACTGGCCCAGAGTCTCACGGGTCGTAAGTAGCAGAGCCAGGACTTGGAGGTTCAAATTCAGTGCTCTTTCTACTTGAGGAGTTTGCACTGGACAGGGCATTTGCCCTGGGATACGACCATGTTGCCTGAAAGAGGTGTACCACTAAACTGAGGGATATGGGCCCCATGAACACCTGAAGGTGACATCATAAAACAGGGTAATTGTGAACATGGAAGAACTGGCAAAACACAAGAAGATTCTGGGTGTCAAAGAGAGTATAAAGTAACAGGGGAGTTAGGTGTGGGAGCAAGGAAGCATATACTCTCAAGGTTAGCAGGGATGTTAACTGTGACTTGGTTCAAACTGATGTCCTATTTGATGTCCAACTCCCCTCTGTTGCATCTATGCCCATATGTTGACCTCCTCTCTCTGAATCAATACCCCAGTGACAGGAAAACCACGTTTCCCAAGGTGCTCCCATCTTTTCTCAGCTAGATTCCACTGTTAGTACGTACTTCCTTCCATGAAGTACAGTTCCAGTAAATCCTTCCTCAGATCAAGTAAACTCTCCCAGACTCAGAGCACTCTCTCGATGTTTTACTATGGATATTGTTTAACTACCCCATTAGTCTTCTCTTCTCCAGACAAAACCTCCCCAATACGCTCAGCCCAGTATGCTCCAGGACAAGATTCCAGGTCATTGCCCATCTTGGTTCCTCCCTTTTGGGTCACCAGTAAGCAAAGTGGGGGCCTGGCACCGATGACATTAGCTTGGCAGTGGACAGGGTACAGATGAGGGACTCTTGCCCCACATTCTTGCTTCCCCATCCTCCCTCTAACCTCTACCCAATGCAGGGACATAGCTAACAACCACCGCGAGCTCCGGCGCCTGGGCATCACCCACGTCCTCAATGCCTCGCACAGCAGGTGGCGAGGCACGCCCGAGGCCTACGACGGGCTGGGCATCCGCTACCTGGGTGTTGAGGCCCACGACTCACCAGCTTTTGACATGAGCATCCACTTCCAGACGGCTGCCGACTTCATCCACCGGGCCCTGAGCCAGCCGGGAGGTAGGAGGGGACAGCAAAATGCACGGAAGGAACAGTGGACGTTGAGTCAGGGAACAGCTCAGGGTTCGGGTGTGGGGAGGGAGAGATTTGAACCACATGACTAAATGCTCAGGATAAAATGTTAAGGAAAGAAAAACATTCTCTCAACCATGTTTAAAATACATGAAATACATAAAAGACATAAAAAGATGAGAAGGAAATAATCCAAAATATTAAGAAAGTGGCAAGTTAACACCGGGGTGGTGAGACTATGGGTGATATGTTTCAATTTTTTTGCTGCTTTGCATGTTCCTACACTTTCTAATGATTTCTACTTTGAGCATGTCTTGCTTTAGTGATCAGAAAAAAGTATATATGAATAAAAAATATATGAACAACCACCCCCTGTCCCCCCCAAAAATGGTTGATAGAAACAGCAAGATGGAAGGGTGGGCAAAACTAAGGAAAGGACAGGTTAGATCTGGGGTGTTTTTTTTCCTTTTTCTTTTTTAATTTTAATTTTTTTATTTTATTTTATTGAGGAACAGTGTGTTTTTCCGGTACCCATCAGCTCCAAGTCGAGTGGTTGTTTCTTTCTAGTTGTGGAGGGCTCAACTCAGTGGCCCATGTGGGCATTGAACCAGCAACTTTGGTGTTATGTGAGCACTGTGCTCTAACCAACTGAGCTAACCAGCTGCCCAGATGCAGGGTTTTTTTGGCTGATGCACTCAGCAAACATCAACTGAAGCCCTACCATGCACAGAGCTCAGTTTTGCATTACTTATGAGTCTCTACCTTTGAGCCCTCTTTGAGTTTATGGACGCCGAACAGCTGCATGTTCTCCATCTCATTCTGTCTAGAGAATTTGCCAGGGTCCTGCGTTCTTATCACCACTCATCTGCACCCCATCCCGTGTCCATGCACCTCTACTCACATGTCTTCCTCCTCACTGTCTGAGTAGCCCTCTCCCTGGCATCCTCCAACCCACCACAAACAGTCTCATGGCTGCCTCTGTGTCTGTCCTCACAGGGAAGATCCTGGTGCATTGCGCCGTAGGAGTGAGCCGGTCTGCCACCCTGGTGCTGGCCTACCTCATGCTGTACCACCACCTCACCCTCGTGGAGGCCATCAAGAAAGTCAAGGACCACCGAGGCATCATCCCCAACCGGGGCTTCTTGAGGCAGCTCCTGGCCCTGGACCGCAGGCTGCGGCCGGGTCTCGAGGCATGAGGGGAGGGGGAAGGAGGTTGGTTGGGTCAGGCCTGTAGGTCTCTGACTCCCAGCTGGAGAGAGGAGGCCCAGGTGGCAGGTAGCAGGAGGCCCAGGTAACCCATCCTCTCCTGTGGGGAGGAGAGTGAGAGGGCTGGGGCATGGTCCCAGGTCACCATTGCTATTTGTCACAAAGGGATGGGGAGTGAGGGTGGGGAGTTTGGTGGATGTCCAGGAGGGAATTGACCAGAGAAAGAAGAAACTAGGCTGTAGGCAGAAGTCAGTCCTGAGATTTGGACATGGCTGGGTTCCAGCCAGGGTGCCCCTGGCGATTCAGAATCCCTTCCCCTCTTTGTGCCCAAGTGTTCCCCTCTCTCACTTATCAAGACAAAAGGGTCATCTCTGTCCTGTGCCCTTGCAGGGAGTCAGGGATGCAGCCAGAATGAATGTGATGATGTAGAGCTGTGTGGAGATGGTAGTGTAGAGACAGACGGTGAAGAGATGGTGTGAAAAGCTGCGAAACCCAAGGGAGAAAAATCACAAACTTGTTACTCCAAGCACAGGAGGAGGAGGTGTGGGAGGGTTGGCCCTGTGCCCGTGGGTGCTAGTCGTGGCCAGTAACTGCAGAGGGGCATAACTGGGAGTCTTAGATGATTGCTCGCTTACTGGATCCAGGTGGCTCGAGGGAAAATAAAGATGGTGGACACGAAGAGAGCCTCTTGAAGTCATTGACAGGTTGTATGAGTTCCGCACCTCTCCCCTGAGAACTCCAGCCCTGCTGGGGACAGCAACAGTTCCTGACTCTCTCATATTGGTCATAAGCCCCCACCAGCCTTTAAGCCTCCACCACCAGTTAGGGGAGGTTTCTCCCAAGTCCAATTTCACACTCCTCCTGGAAGAGAAATTTTGAACTGTTATTCCCAGCTATGTCCACACTGGGGCAGCAGAGGACCAAAAACTTCAAGTTTGCAACCAGTTCTGCGTAGTCACTCAGAGGAGAGGGCACAACCTTCATTTCCCAAGTTTTAAAATAGGTCTCTGTTCACAAACTTGGATGTGTACGAAATATAACTTTATTTTTAAAAAGTTAACCGGACTTCTATATCAAGTCCCATTCTGATGGGATAGCAGATTATCTTAAATCAATCCCAGACCTAAGTCCTATCTTCAGGGGTTTGGGTTTTCCTGGTGCCAAGAAACTGGAGGGGAGGCAAGAAGAGGTGATGCATTTCTTCCTCTTCTAATCTTTCCAGGCTTGCCTCAGAGGACTATAACACAATCTCCTTAGGAAACTTAGCCAAACATTAGGCTAAACAACCAGAGAGAATAGTGTGGTCTTTCTATTATCCCAATGGCCAAACTGCCAGCTACCACATCCCTCCTTTTAAAAAGGCATATTCCCAGAACAGAATATCTACCTGAATGGGAGAAGGGTATGGGATGGGAGACGACGTGAAAAATACAGCGAAAAACAATCACAATGTATCTGAAATGTAGGTCCTACCCCAAAGTACAAAAACTCAGATGCTCAAAGCTGGACAGTGTCTTCATATGTTTCATTTCTACTCGCCGACAAGACATAAATGAATCATCTTTTCAATATCTTTGACAATAGTCATCCAGCATTTGTTTGAACGTTTTTTGATGGTAAGGAACAAGTACGTAATTCTCATATCATTTAACCAGCTCTAAATATTAGGAAGCTGTAATACAACACACGCATGATGCAACCATGTTACAGTGGTAGTGAGATAGGCAGAAAGATATGATAGCTACTGACTGTAGCATGTGGCAGTTATGGCCTTTGCATGTCACTTTACTACTTCCCCACCTAGTTACATGCAGCAGTTTTGTCTACTTCCACAGAGCTGCTATGGGCATTTAACTAGATATAAGAAACCAAGCTCTGAGCAGTCAGTATTTAATAAGTTTCTTTCTCTCATGCTGTCTGTCGTGACAGCCCTTCCCAAGGTTTGAAGCCCCTCTCATGGCTGTCCTATGTCTTCCCATTTACAGCCCAATGGCTCTGATTTTTTTTAAGAGTCTACATTTGTCATGTTTCAAGTTTTCTCCCCAGCTTGCCAATTTTGGCATCTCTTCCTAATTTTGGCAATTGGAACTGGTTGCAATGCATCAGGCTAGGCCAGGGGTCAGCAAACTTTTGAGACAGAAGAGCCGCCAGGGGTCGGCAAACTGCGGCTCGCGAGCCACATGTGGCTCTTTGGGTACGTACATGTGACTCTGAAGTAAAACTGAAAATGAAAATAAAACTATCATAGTTTCATTTATGAACATTTTAAAGCATATTATTCACATAATGGTGAATGCATTTGTTTTATAGGTCTCGCAAAACTTCGAGGGACAGGATTGGCTCTTCCAGAGGTCGGCAAACTTTTGAGACAGATCGTACCCAAAAAACCACATGTGGCTCATGAGCTGCAGTTTGCCGACCCCTGGGCTAGACCTATATGAGGCCAGCAAGAACTATTGTCTGGGGCCTCAGATTTTGGTTACTCTGAGGGACAAATTTATCTAAGGGATAGAGAGAGGCCTTCATTAAGAATGTTGATTCTAATTAAAATGTATTGATTCTCTGTCCAAACCATGAACAAGAGGACTTAATATAACTAAAAGGAACCCAAACATAACTTAGGCTCTTAGAAGGGCCAGTACTATGATCTGACCAGGATAGAATACAATAGAACTGCCACCTCCTCTGTTCTAGTCTAGTAACCATATTACTATTAATGTAACCTACAGTCACAACCCTATTTGTGCAGTCTGAATGTTTACTTCGAGTGGAATAATTTAATACAAACTTGAAAATTTAATTCTAACTTCCGGTAGAGGAGTACAGCTACTAATGTATATTTGACCAAAAAACAAGTTTCAGATCATCTTCACAGTGCAGATTATATGTTTATTATTTAACAAAGCCAGATGATGGCTATGCCCAGGCACTCCTTCTGTCTTTACAGATATTAACTCATTTAATCCTTATAAAGACCATGTGAAGGAGGTGTAATTGTCATTGCTCAGGAACAGGGAAATTGAGGTGAAGTCATGTTCCCAAGGACACACGTATGATAGAATAAGTGGAAGAGCTAGGATTCAAGCCTGGGTGCTTTGACTCCTGAATCTGTGTGTGTAACTATCCTGCTGCAATACCTCAGACCTATAAGATTCAAGGGAGAAAAAGAAACAAATTTAAAAAAAGAATAATAATACAAAAATAAAAAAAATAAAAAAGATTCACGGGTGAGAAGGGAGGTCCACAGCCTGGTCATCACACAGGTAGGTTCAGTCCTATCCTCCAAGGAGCCTGAAAGTGACACCTGTCACAGGTGCTGAAACCAAGGTTAAATGTCCAGTCTTCCTCATCCTGTTCTTGGGGGAAGTTGGTTCTTTGAACCTAAGCAGAGGACTTGGAAATAAACAGGAATAAATGTGCTCTTGTTAGATCCAGCCTGTGCTTCCAGCGGGCTAAGCCTTGCCCCTCGGGAGCTGCTAGCCATGTCAATCTTGTCATCCTGCCTGGCGCCTGTCCTTGCCGCCTCCAGCCTCGGTCTCTGTGACGGTGACTCAAACCTCTGCGGCAGACCCCCAGGACCCTATGCTGCCTCTGGGGAGAGAGAAGGAGAAAGTTTGCCCTGTCCACCTCTAGAACGAATCCCGGCTGAGAAGTTCCACAGGGAGAGGTGGCAAAGAGAAAACTGCTGCACCTGAGGCCCAAGTAGCAGATGGAGCTGGAACGAGACAGGCAGCTGAGAATTACGCTAGCACGAGAGGGCTGGGTACGGCTGAACCGAAGCCCCTCCCCTCCCCCAAGAAGTGCCCTCCCCCCGCCACCCATGATCCTTTGAAGAAAAGGAAGCCTGAACAGAGGAGGAGTGGGGCCAGGTTGTGAGAAAAGATAAACCCTATTATCATATGTCTGTGTCATGTGAGAGAAGGAGCAAAAAATCCAAAAGCTGAGGAAAGAGCCCTGTTCATACCCTAATCCCTGGGACCCACAAATACATTACCTCATGTGGCAAAAGGGATTTTGCAGATGTGATTAAACTACAAACTTGAGATGGGGAGATTACACTAAATTATCTGGTGGGTCCAATCATGGGAATCCTTAAAAGCAGAGGACCTTTTCAAACTATGGTGAGAGATTTGATGTGAGGATGATCCCCACCTCTGATCTACCAAAGTGTGAGATAATAAATTTGCATTCTGTAAGATAAAAAATTCACCACATGAAGTTTGTGGTGATTTGTTACAACAGCAATAGGAAATGAATACAAGCCCCTTGAGTCACATAAAGACCTTTCCCCGTGAACATCTAGCCGCTGGTTAAAAATGCCAGGATTGGGCCAGCCGAGTGGAGTAATGGTTAAGAACTGGCTTGGGACGCCAGAGGGCCCCGGTTTGGATCCCACATACGAGGGCCAGTGACACTGCCCTCCACAGCTAAGATGCTGAACAACAGCTCAACCTGGAGCTGGGCTGCCGTGAGTCGCCGGCGAAGGCTGCAGCCTCTGTGGCAGTGGGTTGCCATGGGCTACCGTGTGTAGCCAGCAGCCAGCGTGAGCGGCCAGCAGCCGCAGTGAGCGGCCGTCCAGAAGCCGGCGACTGATCTGACTCGCCCGGGAAGAGCGCAATGATGGTGCCAACTTGGGCCAGTGAAGCAACGTCCTCCACAACTAGACTGAAGAACAAAATGACAGCAACTTGTCTGTTCCCTTTCCCCCAATTCCCCAGCACTGTTCCCTTACCCACAATTCCCAAATTAAAAAATAAAAATCTTAAAAAAAAAAATGCCAGATTGACCTCTGTGTCAGTTTTTAAAATTGAGAACTGGTGACGCACAAACAGGGAGGAAGGGTCATTCCACAAGGGCTTTATTTACATCACAGGAGCAAACTAGCAGCTGAGAGCAAAACTCACCAGCAGAGGGTGTTTCCCTTTCTGTGCAATGTTTCAATAACTAGGAAGCGTTACACAAAATCTGGTTTCCCAGGTACTCTTACAAAGTTGAAAAGGACAGTGAGCCCACATTTGCACATGACAGTCTCAGGAAGGGCTGTCCTCCTGAGGTAATCCCTTCGCTCCAGTTCATCACTACCCATCACTATCTATTTTCTTAACACTGGACCTGCTTCACTCCTTATTAAGATCATTTGTCACAACCCCTGTTTGCCACAACCCCTGGGGTCACTCAACCCTCCCCCACTGTGTCCTACCCAGAAATTTAAGCTATATCTCATCCTAAGAAGCCCAGAGTAGTCCACCTCTCCTCATCTTCCCCAAAGCCCCACCCTGCCCCCACCCATTCTAGAATATTCTGTTTGAGGGTAGTGGTCCTGGCCTTCAAAGTGGCTTGGGATTGTTCCCCTGATTTGGCAGACTCATAAACCCTCTACCAAATTTCCATTCAGCATCTGGAGCCAGCCTGGGAGAAGGTGGCTGGCACAGCCGGTCTCTCAGGAAGGAACTTGGAGGCAAGTGGAAAGAGGCCCAGCCTTGTCCTCAGGAAGTGGGGAGGGGAACGTTCATCAGTGCAGGAGCCAGCTTCTGAAGGTCTGCAGACTAAAAGAAAGGGAACCCCTCCCCCCAGACAACTTTCCCTGAGGCAGTGTGTATTCCTGAGAATTCTGAGATTAACTGGGGTAGGGAAAAATCGGAGGAGAGAGGCCTCTGGCCCCTGGTCCCTGAAGTTCAT